GTCTGGAGAAGCGTCAGCCCGCCAACCGTCCGGTTTCCGACGGTCAGCAGCCGGGCCCGTCGGGCGTGGGACGCGCGCAAGAAGGGTGGAACACGGTGGTGAAGCGGGGCGGTAAAACCCGCACCGTCCCCGAGAGACAGACTCAGAGCACCCAGAGCACACAGAGGAGCTCTGGGGCTGCCTCTCAGGGAAGGAAGAACAAGCAGGCCCCGCCATCACCGTCCAAACTGCGTGCACCGCGATCAGCGGCTGTGGTGGTTACCCTCGCTCCGGGGGCGGAGGCTGGCGGGCTGACGTACACGGATGTGCTCAAGGAGGCGAAGAGCAAAATAGACCTCGCCTCCTTGGGGATTGGAAGCTTACGCTTTAAGACCGCGGCTACTGGGGCCCGTATACTGGAAATACCAGGGTCCCAGACGGGAGAACAGGCCGACGCGCTTGCGTCGAAATTCCAAGAGGTTTTCCCGGCGGATACCGTCCGCATCTCCAGGCCCGTCAAAACGGCCGAAATGAGAATGATGGGTCTGGACGACGGTACCGACGGGGAAGAGGTGGCAGCCGCCGTAGCCCAGCAGGGCGAGTGTGCGGCGGCCGCCGTCAAGGTCGGAGAAATTCGACGAGGCGCGTCAGGCCTGGGCACCTGCTGGGTGCGGGCCCCACTAGCCGCGGTCAAGCGGATCACGACGGCAGGCCGGATCAAGATCGGCTGGGTGTCCGCTGCTGCGGAACTGCTGCGGCAGAAGCCGCTCCGGTGCTATCGGTGCCTCGAGAGCGGGCACGTGTTGGCAAGGTGCTCGCACGAGGAGGACCGGAGTGGCTTATGCTACCGGTGTGGAGAACCCGGCCACAAAGCGGCTGGGTGCATGGCGACTCCACACTGCGTGGTATGCGCAGCGGCGGGTCGCCCAGCCGATCACCGGGTGGGGGCAAAAAGTGCCCCCAATCCCGGTCCAAGAGAGAGAGGGGATCCGCACTGTCGTCGGCCCGCGGCAATGGCCGCCGGGGAGAGGCTGAGGTGATGGACACCGGTCAATAATGGCAGTCCATCGCCTCCTGCAGGGGAATCTCAACCACTGCGCGCGCGCCCAGGATCTGCTTCTGCAGAGCGCGGCGCAGTGGGGAGTTGACCTTGCAGTGGTCGCCGAACCATATCGTGTCCCACGTAGTGACCACTGGTTCGGCGACCCCTCTGGCCTGGTGGCCATTGTCGGCGCGGGCAACCCCGCGACCCCGCTCGTCAGTCGCCTATTCGGCGGAGCGGGGTACATAGGTGTGAGTTGGGGGGAAACCGTCGTTGTCGGGACATACTTCTCTCCGAACAGGACTCTCGCCGAGTTCGAGCAGTTCATGGACGGGCTGGGGGCCGCTATGGAGCTATACTCGGCCCGTCCAATGATGGTGATGGGGGACTTCAATGCCAAATCCACGGCATGGGGCTCCCCCATCACCGACTCTCGAGGCAGGGTCCTGGAAGACTGGGCGGCCGCGGCCGGCCTGGTGGTGTTGAACCGAGGGTCGGCCGCCACGTGCGTGAGACAGCAGGGGGAGTCGCATGTCGACGTATCCCTCTGCAGTCCAGCGATCGCACAGAGGGTGCGGAGCTGGCAGGTGTTGGATGAGGTGGAGACGCTATCCGATCATCGTTACATTCGGATAGACGTTCTCCCCTCACCCGTAGCTCCGCACCCCGGTCGCCAGGAGAGGAATGTCCCACAACTCCCCAGATGGGTGTTGAAACGTCTGAATAAAGACGTGCTGATGGAGGCTTCCATCGTCCAGGCCTGGGTTCCCATACCGGAGGGGCCTGTGGAGGTCGACGCAGAGGTGGGCTGGTTCGGTGAGGCTCTGTCGCACATTTGCGACGCGGCGATGCCCCGAGCCGGCCCTCGACCTCCTAGGCGTCAGGTGTACTGGTGGTCGGAGGAGATAGCGGCGTTGAGGGAGGAGTGCTCCGCCGCCCGCCGCCGGTACACCAGGCACCGCCGACTCAGGCGGGGCCGCGACGCCGACGAGGAAGCACAGCTGTACGAGCAGTACAAAGAGAGGAAGAAAGCTCTGCAGCTATCCATCAGCAGGGCCAAGGAGGCAGCCAGGGAAGAACTCCTGGAGACCCTGGACAGGGATCCATGGGGGCGTCCTTATAGGTTCGTCAGGGGCAAACTACGCCCCTGGGCGCCCCCGTGGCAGAGGGTCTCCAGCCGCAGCAGCTGGAGGGGGTGTTGGAGGAGCTGTTCCCGAGACAGCCTCCCTTCACGCCTCCTCCGATGACGCCGCGTGGCAGTGATGAAGAGACCAGCGGCGTCAGCGCTGCTGCGGTTCCTATCATCACCGAGGAGGAGTTCGCCGCGGCCGTGGATAAACTCCGGGGCAAGAATGTCGCCCCGGGTCCGGATGGTATCCACGGCCGCGTCCTGGCCTTGGCCCTAAACACCCTAGGGGACCGACTCCGGCGCTTGTTCAACGCGTGTCTGGAGTCGGGACGGTTTCCCAATAAGTGGAAAGCGGGTAGAGTGGTCCTGCTCCGCAAAGCGGAGCACCCTGCAGGTTCGGTGGTTCCCTCGGCGTTCCGCCCCATAGTGCTGTTGGACGAGATCGGCAAGCTCGTCGAGAGAATCTTGGCGGGCCGACTCGTCCAACACCTGTCCCAGGTAGGTCCCGATCTCAGCCCGAAGCAGTTCGGGTTCCGAGAGGGGCGCTCGACGATCGACGCGATCTCGCGTGTGCGCTCCCTCTCGGAAGAGGCGACGTCCCAGGGTGGGGTGTTGTTGGCGGTCTCGTTGGACATAAAGAACGCCTTCAACACCCTGCCCTTTGCGACTATTAGGGAGGCGCTGAAATACCATCGCGCGCCTCCCTACATTCGGGACGTGATCGGGGCCTACCTCGAGGACAGGTCTGTGCTATGCACGGGGCGGAACGGCGTTGTTGTGCTGAGGGACATGCAACGCGGTGTTCCACAGGGATCGGTTCTGGGCCCGATCCTGTGGAACATCGGGTATGATTGGAACCTGCGGGGCGCCCTTTTAACGGGCACTGACCTCGTGTGTTACGCGGATGACACCTTGGTCACTGCCCGGGGGCGGGACCTACGGGAGGCTACCCGCTTTGCCACGGCAAGCGTGGCGCTGGTCGTCGGCCGTATTAGAAGGCTTGGGCTCCAGGTGGCGCTGGAGAAGACCGAGGTCCTGTGTTTTCATGGGCCTCGGCGCGCGCCACCTCCGGATGCCCAGCTGGTCGTCAGTGGCCAGAGGGTGGGGGTCAAGCCCTGTATTCGATACTTGGGGCTTGACCTGGACAGTCGTTGGAGCTTCCGCGCTCACTTCCGGAACCTGGTCCCTCGCCTCATGGCAGCCGCCGGCGCTCTTAGCTGGCTGCTGCCAAATGTGAGGGGCCCGGGAGAAGGTTCCCGCCGCCTATACCTCGGCGTGGTGCGGTCCATGGCCCTGTACGGGGCCCCCATCTGGGTGGGGGCCCTAGGTAGGGAAAATGTGGCCTGCCTCAACAGGCCACACAGGGTCATGGCCATACGGGCCATAAGAGGCTACCGCACCATATCCGGGGAGGCGGCGGGTCTGCTGGCGGGGTCTCCTCCGTGGGACTTGGTAGCGGAGCTCCACGCGTCAGTGTATCACTGGCGCGCGGAGCGACGTTCCTTGGGGGAGGCCCCCGCTGGTCACGAGATTGAAGCGCGGAGGTCCGACTTTCGGCGGATCCTCAGGATCGAATGGCGGGCTAGGCTAATGAGCCCGTCGGCCGGCCTGAGGACCGTCGAGGCTGTCCGTCCCATCCTCAAAAGGTGGATGAATAGGAGATGGCCACTGACGTACCGCATGACACAGATACTGTCCGGGCACGGCTGCTTTGGGCGGTATCTGTGTCATGTGGCGAGGAAGGAGCCGACGACCGGCTGCCACGAATGCGGAGGTGTAGAGGACACGGCGCAACACACGCTGGAAATATGTCCAGCGTTTGAGAGTGAGCGCCGTGTCCTCACACGAATAGTGGGGGACGATCTCTCGCTGCCGAATTTAGTTCGGAGGATGGTCAGTAGCGAGAGATCGTGGCTGGCGGTGAGCTCCTTCTGCGAGGAAGTTATCTCGCGGAAGGAGGCGGCGGAAAGGGAGCGGGAGTCAGATCGTCCCGCTTCCCTCCGCCGCAGAAGAGCCAGGCCTAGAGGTGGGAGCGTATCCAACTCCGCCCCCCTCTATCCCCCACTGGGGCCGGGGTGACTGCCTTGAGGGAGGCAGTCCCCCAATCCAAAGGCCCCGGAGGTGTGCGCGTGTACCCACACGCCTCCACAATGGAGTAGGGCGAAATAGGTCGCCCTAACCACAAAACGAGATGGGGCCTGCCCTACAACATCTACAGGGCGGGCCGTCGCCGTCGGAGCTGGGGTAGAATGCACCTGCGAATCCCCTGGCTCCGGCATAGGCGCTCGTAGGTACACCGTGTGGTTTTTTAGTGGGTACAAGTCCCACACACCACCTCGCCATCCCTCCGGCGGGGTGACGGTCTTTGAAGATTTTTCCACACGTAAAAAAAAAAAAAAAAAAAAAAAAAAAAAAAAAAAAAAAAAAAAAAAAAAAAAAAAAAAAAAAAGTAGTGTGTTTGTTTGTTTTTGTTGATTCTTTTATTCTTTTTTTTTTCTTTTAATTAAATAGGTTAGGTTTTGTACATATACTTAGGTTAGGTTAGTTAGGTTAAGTTTCCTTTGTTTTGTTGTTTTTGTTTGTTTTGTTGTTGCGCTGAGGTGGATTTTGGTGGACTCACCGGGAGCGACAGGGGGCAACTCCTGTTTGCTGTGCCTGCTCCAGGGGAAGCCCTGGAGCAGCCTGTGGAGGCGCTAGCCTCCGTATTACCCGCCCGACTTAGGTTGGGCGTGTTACTGCTGCCGACGACTTAAGGGAGTTGGCTGGTACTACCAGCCCCCTTCTTTTCCCGTCCCCCGCCGGGGGGACGAGGAGTACCTGTCCCTACCCCGGGACCTGGACTTTTGGTCCATGACGGACTCCGTCACATTGGCGGACGCCGACACGGTGCGGGCGGCGGCGAGGTCGCGGCCCGTCTCGCGAGCAAGGTCGCGGACATCTCGTCCCTCTTCGGCGTCGTCGACGCGCTCCACGCGCTCGACGCGCTCGATGCTGGTGGAGGACGATTTGTCCGGCTGCCTTGTGTCGAGCGAGGACGGGCTGGCGAAAGCGGCCGTTCCGAAGCGGCCGCACGTGGATGGACCGGGCCCTTCCGGGGCGGCGGGCAAGCCGTCCAAAATCCCCTGCCCGTCGTCCGGGAACGGGGTAGTCCTGGTGGTGCCCGTGGGCCGGGCCACAGAGAGTCCGGCAACGTCGCCGAAGTCCCGGCGACAGGAAAAACGGAGGGACGACGGGGTGTTCGTCCGGCCCTCGGAGGTTCCTGCGGCAAAGGGGAAGGTCCCCCAAAAGGACGACTCGCAGCCTGTGGCCGTCTTCAGGGCGGAGGCCCAGAGAAAGCTCGGGGCTGCCCTGGACACGGTGCACAGGTGCGGAAACTTAAAGGGGACCGACCAGAGGCAGCTGAAGGAGAGCATCAGCTCCGTGATGTTGATGGCGGAGGAACTGGACGGGAGTGCCGCCATCAACAGCGAGTTCACCGCGGGCGCCGTCAAACGGCGAATGTTGGAGGCGCAGGTGGAGGAGCTCCGTAAGGAGAACAAGGAGCTCCGAAGCCAGCTCCAGGCCCTCCAAGCCCAAATGCGGCAACTCGCGGCGAACTCGGGGTCGCAACCTCCTCTGGCTGCTTCCCGCGCGCCGCAGGGGTCTCCGAGGGTAAGGGCACCTGGCCCGACCCCCGAGCCGGACGAAGTCGGGGCCTTCAGGGCGGATATCATGAGGGCGACCGGGGAGCTAATTGATGCCCGTATCGGTGCCCAAATTGAGAAGGGCATCCGTGAAATCAAGGCTGCCCTGGGCATCAGCTCCCCGGCGTCAACAATCCGCCCTGAATACCGCCCGCCGCTACAAAGCGATGGGCGGTACGAGGTTTTGGCCCGCATCCCTGGCGCGGGGGTCCGGGGTTTAGGGATGCCCCCCATCTGCGCGGGGCACAAGGCGCAGACTTCCCACCTTTGGGTGGTCAACCCGCTAGCCGGCAAACATCCGGCAGCCAACAGCCGGGGCCGTCGGGCGCAGGGCGCGCGCAGGATGGCTGGAATACAGTGGTGAGACGGGGCGGCAAAAACCGCAGCGTCCCTGAGAGGCAGACCCAGAGTACCCAAAGTACTCAGAGGAGCTCTGGGGCTCCCTCTCAGGGGAAGAAGGGCAAACCGGCCCCGCCGTCGCCATCCAAACTGCGCGCACCGCGCTCGGCGGCCGTAGTCGTGTCGCTCTGCCCGGAGGCGGAGGCTGCGGGTATGACCTACTCGAAGGTCCTCAAGGAGGCGAAGGAGAAGATCGACCTTGCCTCCTTGGGTATTGGAAGTCTGCGCTTCAAGACCGCGGCTACTGGGGCCCGGATCTTAGAGATCCCGGGGTCCCAGACGGGAGACCAGGCTGACGCGCTCGCGTCCAAGTTTCGGGACGTCTTCCCGGACGGTACGGTTCGCGTCGCCAGGCCCACCAAAACGGCCGAGATGAGGCTGATGGGCCTGGACGACAGTACCGACCGGGAAGAGGTGGCGGCCGCCGTGGCACAACATGGCGAGTGCACGGCGGACGCCGTCAATGTCGGAGAAATTCGGCGCGGCGCGTCGGGCCTGGGCACCTGCTGGGTGCGGGCCCCATTAGCCGCGGTTAAGAAAGTGACGACGGCAGGGCGGATTCGTATCGGCTGGGTATCAGCCGCTGCGGAACTGCTGCGGCAGAAGCCGCTCCGGTGCTTCAGGTGCCTGGAGAGCGGGCACGTGGTGGCGAGGTGCTCGCACGAGGAGGACCGGAGTGGCTTATGCTACCGGTGTGGGGTTCCCGGCCATAAAGCGGCCGGATGTTCGGCGACCCCACACTGCGTGGTTTGCGCAGCGGCGGGTCGCCCAGCCGACCACCGGGTGGGGGCCAAAAAGTGCCCCCAGTCCCGGTCCAAAAGACTGAGGGGATCCGCACTGTCGTCGGCCCGCGGCAATGGCCGCCGGGGAGAGGCTGAGGTGATGGACACCGGTCAATAATGGCAGTCCATCGCCTCCTGCAGGGGAATCTCAACCACTGCGCTCGCGCCCAAGATCTGCTTCTGCAGAGCACGGCGCAGTGGGGAGTTGACCTTGCAGTGGTCGCCGAACCATATCGTGTCCCACGTAGTGACCATTGGTTCGGCGACCCCTCTGGCCTGGTGGCCATTGTCGGTGCGGGCAATTCCGCAACCCCGCTCGTCAGCCGCCTATTCGGCGGAGCGGGGTACATAGGTGTGAGTTGGGGGGAAACCGTCGTTGTCGGGACATACTTCTCTCCGAACAGGACTCTCGCCGAGTTCGAGCAGTTCATGGACGGGCTGGGGGCCGCTCTTGAGCTATACTCGGCCCGTCCAATGATGGTGATGGGGGACTTCAATGCCAAATCCACGGCATGGGGCTCCCCCATCACCGACTCTCGAGGCAGGGTCCTGGAAGACTGGGCGGCCGCGGCCGGCCTGGTGGTGTTAAACCGAGGGTCGGCCGCCACGTGCGTGAGACAGCAGGGGGAGTCGCATGTCGACGTGTCCCTCTGCAGTCCAGCGATCGCACAGAGGGTGCGGAGCTGGCAGGTGTTGGATGAGGTGGAGACGCTATCCGATCATCGTTACATTCGGATAGACGTTCTCCCCTCACCCGTAGCTCCGCACCCCGGTCGCCAGGAGAGGAATGTTCCACAACTCCCCAGATGGGTGTTGAAACGTCTGAATAAAGACGTGCTGATGGAGGCTTCCATCGTCCAGGCCTGGGTTCCCATACCGGAGGGGCCTGTGGAGGTCGACGCAGAGGTGGGTTGGTTCGGTGAGGCTCTGACGCACATTTGCGACGCGGCGATGCCCCGAGCCGGCCCTCGACCTCCTAGGCGTCAGGTGTACTGGTGGTCGGAGGAGATAGCGGCGTTGAGGGAGGAGTGCTCCGCCGCCCGCCGCCGGTACACCAGGCACCGCCGACTCAGGCGGGGCCGCGACGCCGACGAGGAAGCACAGCTGTACGAGCAGTACAAAGAGAGGAAGAAAGCTCTGCAGCTGTCCATCAGCAGGGCCAAGGAGACAGCCAGGGAAGAACTCCTGGAGACCCTGGACAGGGATCCATGGGGGCGTCCTTATAGGTTCGTCAGGGGCAAATTACGCCCCTGGGCGCCCCCCGTGGCAGAGGGTCTCCAGCCGCAGCAGTTGGAGGAGGTGTTGGAGGAGCTGTTCCCGAGACAGCCTCCCTTCACACCTCCTCCGATGATGCCGCGTGGCAGTGATGGAGAGGCCAGCGGCGTCAGCGCTGCTGCGGTTCCTGCCATCACCGTGGAGGAGTTCGCCGCGGCCGTGGATAAACTCCGGGGCAAGAATGTCGCCCCGGGTCCGGATGGTATCCACGGCCGCGTCCTGGCCTTGGCCCTAAACACCCTAGGGGACCGACTCCGGCGCTTGTTCAACGCGTGTCTGGAGTCGGGACGGTTTCCCAACCAGTGGAAAGCGGGTAGAGTGGTCCTGCTCCGCAAAGCGGAGCACCCTGCAGGTTCGGTGGTTCCCTCGGCGTTCCGCCCCATAGTGCTGTTGGACGAGATCGGCAAGCTCTTCGAGAGAATCTTGGCGGGCCGACTCGTCCAACACCTGTCTCAGGTAGGTCCCGATCTCAGCCCGAAGCAGTTCGGGTTCCGAGAGGGGCGCTCGACGATAGACGCGATCTCGCGTGTGCGCTCCCTCTCGGAAGAGGCGACGTCCCAGGGTGGGGTGTTGTTGGCGGTCTCGTTGGACATAAAGAACGCCTTCAACACCCTGCCCCTTTGCGACTATTAGGGAGGCGCTGCAGTACCATCGCGCGCCTCCCTACATTCGGGACGTGATCGGGGCCTATCTCGAAGACAGGTCTGTGCTCTGCACGGGGCGGAACGGCGTTGTAGTGTCGAGGGAAATGCAACGCGGTGTTCCACAGGGATCGGTTCTGGGCCCGATCCTGTGGAACATCGGGTATGATTGGAACCTGCGGGGCGCCCTTTTAACGGGCACTGACCTCGTGTGTTACGCGGATGACACCTTGGTCACTGCCCGGGGGCGGGACCTACGGGAGGCTACCCGCTTTGCCACGGCAAGCGTGGCGCTGGTCGTCGGCCGAATAAGGAGGCTTGGGCTCCAGGTGGCGCTGGAGAAGACCGAGGTCCTATGTTTTCATGGGCCTCGGCGCGCGCCACCTCCGGATGCCCAGCTGGTCGTCAGTGGCCAGAGGGTGGGGGTCAAGCCCTGTATTAGGTATTTGGGGCTTGACCTGGACAGTCGTTGGAGCTTCCGCGCTCATTTCCGGAACCTGGTCCCTCGCCTTATGGCAGCCGCCGGCGCACTTAGCTGGCTGCTGCCAAATGTGAGGGGCCCGGGAGAAGGTTCCCGCCGCTTATACCTCGGTGTGGTGCGGTCCATGGCCCTGTACGGGGCCCCCATCTGGGTGGGGGCCCTAGGTAGGGAAAATGTGGCCTGTCTTAACAGGCCACACAGGGCCATGGCCATCAGGGCCATTAGAGGCTACCGCACCATATCCGGGGAGGCGGCGGGTCTGCTGGCGGGGTCTCCTCCGTGGGACTTGGTAGCGGAGCTCCACGCGTCAGTGTACCACTGGCGCGCGGAGCGACGTTCCATGGGGGAGGCACCCGCTGGTCATGAGATCGAAGCGCGGAGGTCCGACTTTCGGCGGATCCTCAGGATCAGGTGGAGAGAAAGGCTGGCCAGTCCATCGGCCGGCCTGAGGACCGTCGAGGCTGTCCGTCCCATCCTCAAAAGATGGATGAATAGGAGATGGCCACTGACGTACCGCATGACACAGATACTGTCCGGGCACGGGTGCTTCGGGCGGTATCTGTGTCATGTGGCGAGGAAGGAGCCGACGACCGGCTGCCACGAGTGCGGAGGTGTGGAGGACACGGCGCAACACACGCTGGACGAATGTCCAGCGTTCGAGAGTGAGCGCCGTGTCCTCACACGAATAGTGGGGGACGATCTCTCGCTGCCGAATTTAGTTCGGAGGATGATCAGTAGCGAGAGATCGTGGCTGGCGGTGAGCTCCTTCTGCGAGGAAGTTATCTCGCGGAAGGAGGCGGCGGAAAGGGAGCGGGAGTCTTATCGTCCCGCTTCCCTCCGCCGCAGAAGAGCCAGGCCTAGAGGTGGGGGCGTACCCAACTCCGCCCCCCTCTATCCCCCACTGGGGCCGGGGTGACTGCCTTGAGGGAGGCAGTCCCCCAATCCAAAGGCCCCGGAGGTGTGCGCGTGTACCCACACGCCTCCACAATGGAGTAGGGCGAAATAGGTCGCCCTAACCACAAAACGAGATGGGGCCTGCCCTACAACATCTACAGGGCGGGCCGTCGCCGTCGGAGCTGGGGTAGAATGCACTCGCGAATCCCCTGGCTCCGGCATAGGCGCTCGTAGGTACACCGTGTGGTTTTTAGTGAGTCAAGTCTCACACACCACCTCGCCATCCCTCCGGCGAGGTGACGGTCTTTTGAAGATTTTCCACACGTTAAAAAAAAAAAAAAAAAGGTGAATATACGAGTAGGTACCAGCTCAGGCTTTGTGACTCGGTGTAGAAATGTGTTATAAGAATTGTCGATGATCCCAATCTCACTGGCGGTATCGAGCCACTTTGCTTGAGGCGAGACTTCGAAACGCTTTGTATATTCTATCGGTCTGTGTTATGAATAATAGTTCGACATGATGCTTTGTTACCTTTTACCTTTTGTCTTTTACCGTTTATCTTTTACCTTTGCACCGCTCACCATCGACGGCATTCTTCCCGCTGGAATGGTATCAACACTTGAACCTAAAAAGTTTCGGACAGTGAGGTTCCAGAAGAACATCCTCCCGCGTACAGACACAATTGTGGAAACTACTTGCCGAGGTTTTATCTAGATATTACAGATAGGATTTTCAAGAGATGTTTCTCAAATAGATCGGCAACACTTACATAGCACTCCTGGTGTTTCAGGCGTTTATAGGCCACCATAACCATTTACCATTAGGGCTATTTATTATGAGCTGTATGCTTAATTACATTCACTTTCATGGTATAAAAAATATAATGATTACGTATTCTCTGAACGTTATTTTATTTTACATCATCAACATTGATTTTAAATTAGATATTTTACGATCTTTGCGATGTAGTGATTTACCGTAGTGGCTCCGTAGCATGCGCGTAGCGCTACCGTAGCGTTTCATTGCTGGTTCGACCCTTGTACAGTATAAATGTTTGTATTCATGAATACAATTGTTTGTTTGTTAGTCTGGGTATTTTTAATCATTTATTTACAAAAAAAATCTTAAAGTCCATCAGTTTTTAATGTCCATAAAACTGGCTTTATTTATTTTGGAACTAGATGGCACCATGTGAAATGTGCAATAATATATTTTTTAAATTGAATTTGTAGCTCTCATCCTATAGTAAAATGCACTTTGGAAATTACAAAGTGAATTAAGACTTTTGCGGGCTCCAGAATCTAGATTATTAGTTAAATAAATACCACGCTAACGATGTTGCAGCAACGTTTAATTCTTACTACTTTAAAACAAGCTGAAAATTGTGAAGTTTTTTAATTCAAGTGTATTATATTCTATCTATATATATCCATCGCGAAAATAGTCTAATTAGACGTTAGAACTGTCTTGTCTTGTAACCACTCAACTCTTGTCCTTTGCTTACTTATACTGCTATAAAAAATCACGTACTAAAACTAAATACTTTGTGAAGTAAATTTCGACTAAAATGAAATATGGCAGTGAAATTACAGGATAAGAGGCATGACATTTTAGTCCTTCCCAATGGTAACATATGAAAGGTATCACGATCGTCACGTGATGATGGGATATCTATTGTTCTGTTCACGTATCTATATAAGTGACGGTTACTACTTACCACTCACAAGGCCGATACCTAGGTTCCTATTTGAGTTATATAAAAAAATTTGGTCATGAGAGTATACATTATGCGCTATTACTACCGTTTGACCGCTATGCTCCGCAAAAGCGCTGCGATCATTTGTCTCGGAAATCGGTACGCAGTGCTTTTGCGCTGCGAGATTCAGTTTGAAATCTTTTTATTATTATTTTTTTTTCTTATATGTACCAATTGATATTTTTTCTCTATAATACAATAAGAATCATTACAATCGATTAATATTTATCTAAGAGAGTATTTTATTTGACAATATAATTTTTTACTTTAAAGAAATCAAAATATATACCGCAATATTCGTGCATTCTTGCAAAAATTGCTTAGCACTAAAACGGTTAATGTGTAATACTTTTTTTATATCCAGCTCTGTAATTGCAAGCTACTAAAACAAAAAGAGCGGGTGCCAATTAATTAGGCGAAACCGAGAACAACCCTGGAAATAAGTTTTCCACTCCCAACCAACTTTGTTTGCACCGCGCTCGGGGTAATGAATGCGGCCGCAATACTTGTTCTGCTCACCGTACGTGCAATGTCGGGTCTACTTTAAAATTGAGATAAGTTTCACTTTTATACAATTCCAATTCTAGTTTAGTATTCATTCAGATTGTTTTAATTCAATTTGACTTTCGAATACTGAATTCAAAAAGTCAGCTATTTTATTGCACATTTTTGCCACTGAATATGCGTTTATTAAAAACGTTAAATATCTAAATGAATCGTATCATTTACCAAACTATAGAGTAGAGTAAAAGTGATGTGATATTGAGACTTTAAAAGAGCCAAGACCATTTTAATTTATATTTAAGTGTACGGGCAACCCCACATGCCTGCTAACTGTGTAATATACAATTGCCGACACATGCAATTTCACCTCATTATATTTATTTTAGGAATAAAAATTAGTGTTCGAGTAGCATTCAACCGAGGCGGGTTTATTTGGCAAAAACCCCTCAATCAATCAATAGCATTATCACGGAACTGTGGGCTTATACCCCCACATTAAGGCTGGCAATACACGTGTACATCAGTGATTTGCTTTTACATAACATGCGATGTTATTATTATTAATTATTGTCCAATTTGGTTATGTATGTATTTTGTATACTATTTAGCGCCTATATAGATTAAACAGGTTATGTCTCATACGCTGCCTAATATAACCCATATTGCTTGCCGTTGCTTTTTAAATAAGATCTAGTACAATTTTTACACAGTATAAATGAAGTTGCTTCCGTTGTCTGTTCGCTTAGATCTTTTGAACTACTCAACGGATTTTAGCAATAGCAATAGATAGAGATTCATGAGAAAGGGTTATATGTATAATCCATGTACACTTGTGCAAAGCCAGGGCGAGTAGCTAGTATAAAAATAAATTAAAGTAAATACTCCTTGAATAGATCTCCGTAGTTCGCAGTCCTACGTTTAATATTCGTAGAATTAGCCCAAACCTCAATATATATATATATTTTGTGTTAGTTTTTTATGTTCTTAATTGATAATTATGGAATGGTGCTCCCTCCTGCACTAACAGTGTATGTTGGCAAGGCACCAGTGGAGGATTATAAGATGAGTATGCGGTCAATCACTTGTGCCATCGTGACAAATTCACAAGGAATTTATCACTATGGTTTCCAATGGGAACCGCGTGGAGATCAACTTAATTTGGTGTAGCGATCGAGTAATTAGTTCACATTACTATCAATCCCTTTCTCCCTTGCATTATGTATTCAGTCAATCAGTTATAACAATATTATCGTGGGATGGTAACAATATCGTAGCATAGTGGGATGAGAAGTGATACGTAGGCGTGGCGTGGGCCGTCCCAATAGCCGTCTTTATTATTGCTACTCATTATTCCATGTCCCCAAATTATCCCATAGATATTTTTTAGTTGTCTATTTTTCAATCTTTGGTCTCTCTTGGTACATTTTTTATTTGTTTAATTGACGTCTAAAAATAGAAGGAGGATCCCTATTCAACTGTATTTTTTTATTCTGTTAACCTCTGAAGATCCTTTTACTATTTTCATTATTTTTACATATTGAAAGTAGGTGGGTCTTATGATATCCCCTATAAAACAAACTATTAGAGTTTTTTTATTATACTTGACAAAGCGATAGAAGTCGATTTTTTCGTGGCCTTAATAAATTATTATTTATTACAATAAGTTGGTAAAGACACTTCCTCTTGCACTGAAACTACAAGTCTCTCTAACTTTATTAATTATTTTACTTTCCAGGATAACTAAATTTAGTTAGAACTTTATTAAAATACAGTGTAAGTATAAAATTCAATGAACGTATAATAATAGTCACAGTCTTACTTTTCAGAAACAAGAACAAAGAAGAAAAAGAAGTTATAAGGTACGGAGGCCAACGCAAAAACTACTGAACGGATTTTGATGAAAATATCGATTATACATCAGAATAATATAGAGGCCATAATTTAAATAATATTAGGCAAATTGTGCGACATGAATTGATAATATCAAGAAAGTTTTTCTATATTTCTTATCTATAAAAAATAAGTCCATCCTGTTGAGTATGATTGTTTGTATATGTCTGGGTGTTTTCTATATATATTGTTTATGTAATTACAAAAATATGTATCTATATATTTATATCAGTTGTTTACCCTTAAGCTAGGCCTATGCACGACAAGTATCTGCAGATTCTGCCAAACTGAAGAGGAAACGCCGCTTCATATCCTATGTGGTTGTAGCCCACTCATGCATAAACGAAATATCTCCTTTGGAAAGTTTACACTCTTTCCCGAGGAGATAAAAACGATCGCTCCTAAGAATATCCTTCAATTCTTGTCCCTGACGGGTCTAGGTAGCGAACTCTGAAAAGGGCGAGCACAATAGATCTATGTAGGTCGCAGTGCTACAGGTGCTACACATCTGACAATAGCCCAAACAACCCAATAAAAAAAAAAAAAAAATTACCCTTAAGACAAGCTCTGCTTACCTTGGGTCTAGATAGCGTTGTGTGAATTGTATATAACCATACATTATATTGTTTTTTTGTCTTAACAAAAAAACAATATAATGTATGGTTATACCAGTCGTTTAATAATATAAAACAAATTGATGATTTTATCAACGGAACTGCAGACTTTTACGAATAAATGTGAGACTATTACTGAGGTTACATGTAGAATACTTGATTGCGTGAGTGAAACGCTTATTATATGGTACAGTGTCCAATATGAGTAAACTGGTTGTGGAAATAAAAACTCATATCATCGCGACTGTATTCCGAGACGAGGATAGTCTGAGACATTTCAATGGATTACATTTATATGGGTCATTTGACAGACTCGATATTCTATCGGTTTAGCATACTGCTTTACTTCCGATAGCCGCAGTTTCGATTCCTCTCACAGTAGAAATCTTTGTACTCATGAGTATGATTGTTTATATCCATCGGGGTGTTTCTATCTGTATATGTATATCAGTTGTCTAGTGCTCATAACATAAGCACTGCTTAGCTTGATGGCGCTGTGTGGTAAAAAAAAATTAAACGAAAGAGTACTTAAATTCAGGAGATTTTTTTACGATACCGAACCGATAGAATATCGAGTCTGTCACTCGATATTCTATCGGTTTAGCATACTGCTTTACTTCCGATAGCCGCAGTTTCGATTCCTCTCACAGTAGAAATCTTTGTACTCATGAGTATGATTGTTTATATCCATCGGGGTGTTTCTATCTGTATATGTATATCAGTTGTCTAGTGCTCATAACATAAGCACTGCTTAGCTTGATGGCGCTGTGTGGTAAAAAAAAATTAAACGAAAGAGTACTTAAATTCAGGAGATTTTTTTACGCTATTTACAAATAAGTAACAAAATCAAATCAGTTTCTAGTTAATAAATACATAGGATGAGTTAGATAGTTTTACGTTTTATTATTTTAGGGACCCCAATGTCCCACCTGACTGGATATTTTAGCAAAACTCATTGGAGTTGCTCGACAAAATTACAACTACATTAGTTATGTGAAAACGAAATTAAGACATAGTTCTTAAAACTGAATAGCCCTCGATTAATAAATTTTCAAGTGGAATTCAGCAGCAGTTGTAATTAACGTCTTAATGATTTTATAGAATTTGAACACTCACTTCATTTTACTAAAGCAACTGCAAAAATATTTCATTTTTCAAATTGAGAAACGTTTATTTTAACGCTAATGACAAAAATGGAGGAAATTGACATTTTATATAATTACGTCCAGTGATTTATATGAAGGACTTTGTTAAGGCACCTTTACTTCACCGCCGTTACTCAATAAAGTCCGTTAGAAGTCTGCCTGGCAAGTCAAATACAAGCATGACGGGCTCTCGCCAAGTAAAAATTGCTTTTAATACCGGAGACACTTGAGAGCAAATGAGTTTTTAGGCCCCGGGGTGCAATTTTTAAATCGCTCGACACGTTTCTGTTATTTTTGTTTTCGTTGGAAATTTTCGACGATGTTGCGAATTGATTCTTAGAATTAATAAGGTAAGAAATTGGATTAATATTAAAAAGTTTAGATCGAATAATTTGGGATAATGTTTCATTGAAGAAATGAAGTGCGAAAATAATGTTTGTTAATTAGTTATTTGTTTTATCTTGCATAAGAGTCTAATTTCTATTAATAATGAAAAAAATGCTAAAAATATTACTCAATTTGTATTTAGGTTTTGTCCGATTAGAATATGATTGATTTTATAAATAACTAGTCTCTGCTCATAGTACAATATTTAAAATTAATAATAAATACCTAGAGAGTATATTTCGTTATAAGAAAGTACAACAGTAACTCCAAAAGCAGGAGAATATTTCATTGTTTGAAAGGTACATTATTCCAGAATGACATATGCTATGCTACATACGTATTATGATAATATGACCATCATACACCAAACTTGTAAAGTCAAATCCGAGGCGGGGCAGTAGTTTCAATGATGGCATAGTTCTAACAGTGATTGTAGATCCCAACAAAGCTGCATATTGTATTAATATTAATAGCTTGACGTCTCTCTATTAATTGTTATTATTGAAGTACGTCAGATTGGGCGTCGGCTTTATCAATTAATGCAAATTGGCGTAATCGTTATTAATGAAGTTACCGGAGAACATGTTTCATTTTGTGAAAAGACCGAATGAATTTAAGTTGCAATTCAATTATAGAATAAAAGTAGTCTTTTGACATTGCCAATTAATAATATAAAGGTATAATTTTATATACTTTTTCATGGCATCGGTGGTCACGGGTACGATTCCTCGCACGGCACAAACATTTCTATTCATGAGTATGAATTTTTGTGTCGGTCTGGGTGTTTTCTATGTATAATATATACGCATTTACGAAAAAAATATATATCTAACTTGGGTCTATATGGCGCTGTGTGTTTTTTATTATAGATTATTATTATTATATTAAAGCATTTTTAAAATTTTCGACTAATAATATAAAAAAAATATATATATTATTATATATTATTGTGATAAAAAAAATATTTTGTTTCTATTTTGGCTGTCATAACATATAAGAATTTTGTTTAAAGAATATTCGACTAATATTGCCGAAATTACTATTATAAACTGATGAGTAAATCTTTGCAATAGAAAACTTCTAATTAACGTCTCAATTCCCTTATGAAATAGGAATCGTAGTATGTTGGTAAAAAAAATAAAAACACCAAATCCGATTGCCTTCATTTTTAAGTTCTTGATAATCTGATCAAAGCCACACTTCTATACTTGGGTTCGAGTTTTGGATTGGGTTCGAGCTCAAAAGAACAGATTAAGATGATTCTTTTTGCAATCAATAACAACCCATCAAATATTTTATACATATAGGTGACTGTACGACGGGCTCGGTGGTTTAGCGGTTTACAGACGATTGCTAGTTCAATTCCTCCCACGTTGTTTCATGAGTATGATTACTTTATTTAGTCTGGGTATTTTCTACATATATTATGTATGTATTTACAAAAAAAAAATAATTTCAGTTTTCCTATAAATTTTTTAGTACACTTAGCCCTGCTTAACTTGAGACTAGATGGCGCTGTATGAATTGTCCCAGTTTATTATTATTATGGTTCATATAATATCGTCATCCTTTCATTGGTAGTATGATACAAGTATGGTAGACTATTTTATAGTGATGCAAAAATCTGCACCGTCCTGTTGGCGTGACTCCAATAGTGGTCTCGACCCTTCCAAATCACTTAATTTATGTAACGAAACACCGGAAAATTGTCTTAATTTAAATACACGATGCAATGAACCGCTGATTTATGTGGTACTACTTTTAAACATAGCATTTACTTCAACAGCGATTAGTGAGTTGTTAAATTAACTTATCCGGTTTTAGTAACGGTGATAAATAATCCAAATTCTGTAAATACTGTTTAACATAGTTAGTTAGTTTACAATATTTTGTTTTAATTTTTAACAAACTTTGACTTTAAAATATAGTATCAGTTGAGAATTCGCGAAAATAATATAGTTTTTATATAAATAAGATTCTTATTTTTCACTCGTTTATATTACCTTTAAACTTTAGGTTCTTTTTTGGAATAATATTTTATAACTGTGTACGGTAATTTCGTAATATTTAATTAGTATTAATGTTTTTATATTTATTAAAATTACAGTATGAAAATTATTGAATTTACTGATATGTATATTGATTAATATCTACATAGATTCTTATCAATATGCATATAATATAAAATTGAAAGTGTGTAAATAGTGCTGTTCATGTATGTAGACGACGGTTACCATTTATCATTACATGGATCATTAGTTTCTTTGTCATAGTTACGGTTCAATGGATCTTGAAAATTGATATGATAATGAATAAAAAATAATCTAAAATAGGTTGAAACAGGGGATGAAAGTTTATGCAGACAAAGTAACCGATAATTCCAAGTTGCAATTAATTAACTGACCTGTGTAACTTCTGCTGCGTCTCATTTTCCCTATTTTAGCAATATTTTTCATTGCAACTTCGCTTTTGTTGGTCGTAGCATGACATTATATAGCCTAGGATATCATCACAAAAAGCGTGGCTATCTTATCTTATCTTAGCAAAAGAATATTCGAAATCGGTTCAGTACAAATAGAGACTACTCCTTACAAAATCACAAATTTTACCTAAATATAATATTTATATATATGTATATATGGCAACTAGCAAATTCTCTGAGATTATCTCTCTCTCTATCCAACCCATGTTCCCTGTTCATCTGGGGTCAAGTCTTCCTGTATATCTGCGCCAGAGAACTCTGTTAACTAAGTTGTCTAAGTAGTAAGGTTGTCCTGGTCTATCTTCTTAATATTGTTCCAACAAGTGGTGGAACAAGTCACATGCCACTCGAGTCGAGTTTAGTATCTTG